AACATGGTCCTTTATTTTCAGGGAGGTTTGTAGAAAAGATTATGACAATTCATGTTAAAAACAAAGCACAGTTATTTGAAAAGTAAAAGAAAGCCTACAGAAGCAGACTAAATAAAATGAAACTTTATGCCCAGAGTGATCCAAGGTAGAATCAAATGTTTGGTGAAAGAGTTAAACAAGAAAGGAAGGTGGATATCTGTGTCAGATGTTTTAAATTCTGACATCATTAATTCAAGTCTTTTAATTCAGGTCTTGTCAATACAGTTCAAATGTATTTCTATTTTATGTGGATCCAGATAGCTTTGGATTTTATTTAACAAGAAACAAATGCATAAATATATTTTGAAGAAAATATATAGTGTGAGGATATATTTTAAATATAATTATTTAAGTGCAGGGTTCTGTAATGGTATATCATAGACCTTGTCTTCTGTTCTGTATAAACTCTTCAAAAAAATACTTTCAACAGATGACTTGCAAAGAACGTATCGTGTCATAAATTTTCTCAACAAACTTTTTCCCCTTTCTGTTGTCGTAGTGCCATCAGAGGTAGTGGATTTCTGATGGGAAGTTGACCAGATCATTGGTACAGAAAACAATGTAAAGTGCAGAGAGAGCAGTCTTCCCATCTGTAGCTATATAGACCCAACTAGAATACTGGTTTGAGTCTTTGTTATGGACTTGGTTGTGCTCAGGGTGCAAGCCCAGAGGTAAATCACAAAGTTCTGACATGCAGTTCAGCAAATGAGTAATTTCTGATCAACAGATACGGAGGGCAAATAATATAGTTCTGCCATGGTAAGGATACAAAACGACTAAAATTTTTCTCTAATCAGACTTGAACACTATGTAATTACTGTTCAGTATAATAATAATATTTAGTCTTCACTTCCACAGTATCCAGTAAGCCTTCTTCCTACATCCTAATTCCTCTAGTGCTTTAATAGAAATAGTGACTACTTTTACATTTTCTTCAATTTTTTGACAAACTTTATAGTGCTCTCCAGGGAAGTGGTCATGGCCTTAAGCCTGTCTGTGTTCAAGAAGCATTTGGACAACGCTCTTAGATACATGATTTAACTTTGAGGTTGCTCTGCGTGAAGTCAGGAGTTGGACTAGATGCTCATTGGTCACTTCCAGTTCAGGATATTATATGATTCTGTGATTTTAGACACCAAACCTGTATACAGTATATCTAAGGTATATGCTGATTTATGCAAATGATTTATTTTAATAGAGAAGGACAAGGCAAGGAGTAGGATTACCTCTATGGCTCTAGGTAGGAAAGAATGAACAAATTCATGAATCAAGCAAAGACGACATTTTTGACTTATAAAAATCAGAAGAAACAAATGTCACCTTTAAACATTCATTAATCACATCTAGACTTTAGAGAGAAGGCTTGTGGTGACAACATGCAAGATTTTTAAAGGTAGCAAACCCAGCTATGCTGTTTTAAAACATTGCACCGTTTAAAAATCTGGTTTCTTGTTTAGTCTGAAAGCATTTGTGGGAATCGATAAGAGAAAGTTCTTTGCTTCAGTGGGCACCTGCAGTTTCAAACAACACCTGAAACGTAATTTCAGCACCTTAAATATAAGATCTGTTACATATTCTTCAGCGCAACTTCTAGATATTTGCACCAGCTTTTTGAAGGCAATCAGTTGATTTGAAGCACTCGCCACCATTAGAGGCTTATTTCTATAAATAGTGAGTTGGACAATCTGATTCTTTCTAATTTTTCAGTGTCTTTTATAGAAGCTATGTTCTGGTTCCAAGAATTCTGGCAAATAAGTGAAACAATATGGGAGCGTGTTCAGTTTTAAACTTCTGGGTTTTTTCTTGTTTACTGAAGAAGCACATGACCTTTGAATTATATTCACAGTGGTGCTTTTGTCTGTTTTGGTATAGCATCTGGTTTGGTAAGGAAACATTTTCCTGTTCTTAGTGGCCAGTCTGAGCTGGTAATCGTATTGGTTAATAGCTTGTATTTATACTAATTTGGAAAGTTCTTCTCAATGTTGTTTGCATTTCAAATATTACACTAATATTTATTACCTTATTTTAAGGAAACTGAGGATCATTCATTGTTTAATTTCTTGGAGGAGCATGTTGTCTTTATCCTCAGTCTCTATATTTATAAATTCCTTCCAGTTTATTTGAAAACTCAGATTCTCTGTGTAGACAGTGCATATACTCTACTTCAGCTGTTTTCCTTAACAGTCACTAATTGTTGTTTTCTAGTAAAAGAATTAAATGTAGAAAGCATCCGTTATATGCAAGATCATTTTGAAATTGGGAAGAATTCTCACTGACATGAGTAGGGTTTAGACATGCATAAATATCGAGAGATTGCTATTGGGAGCAGCCTGTCCAGATCAACAGTCACTTCTGATAGTTGAAAATTTAGCTGTTGGTTTTCCCTCTGCATTTCCCAGTTTACAGGGCAGATGTTGGTATAAATTTTGTGCGGTAGACTGCTAATAATGGTTTATTTCAGTAAAAAGAATTATTTTAAAATTTATTTAAATAAATGCAAAAAGTATATTCAAAATTAACATACAGATACCTCAGAGTTCAAAATTGGTAAATTCTGTGTGTATCGATTGTGTGAAAACCAGCTATGCACAGCCACATATCGCAAGCAGAATACCTTGTTTGTACTTTATTTGGATATACCAGCTCTTGCATGCCTTTAGTTGGGTGGTGTTCGGTGTGTGCAGAAAGATCCTTTGTCCAGGAATTCCAGGCACTCAAAAATCTGATAGATTGCTACCTACCGGTGTGAGGTGGGAAGTTACCCATAAAGCTAAAGGGCAGTGGCACCAACAAGGATCTCCTGTGAGAACTGGTAGGCTTTGCAGATCTGAACGAGTGTTAACATTGTAAACTCAAGCATTCAGAGCCCAGGAAGGCTCATACGTGAGCGACTTTAACTTGCCCTACCTTGTATGGATGATTCAGTTTTAACAGTGTACCATGGAAAGGTTTTATTTATTAACAGAATCTTACTGCATTCATTGCATTTGGCTCATACTCATTGAACAAATAGCTGTTCAGAGTTTTGGGGGTTTTGTCTTTATTTGAGCTACAGATTCCAGGTGACATTTAGCACACCCCACCTAAACTCTGCGATACATACAGAACTCTCATGATTTTATTGACACACTTTTTAATGATGCTTTTGTTACAATGTCTGTGTATATCAACCATATTATGTTATCTTTATAGCAGTCCTGCAAGATTAATAGTGGTATCTTCTTATTTTTAGTTGACATGGGATGAAAAACAAGGGGAGATTAGGCCAGTATTATCAAAATCATGGACTAATACTAGATACTTAGTTTGGAATGACTAGGATGTTTTTTCTCAGAGTACTTTTTGATGTTCGGAATAGTTATTCTCAGATGCAGGAGGGGGTGCTTAGCGCTTCTGAGGATACACACTCGGAAGTGTTAAGCTGACTATCTAGAATTTGAGGAATGTAACATGAGAAAACTTGGTTTTGAAGATTTTCCCAGGATCATAAAATAAACTGTATATCAGAGGCAGAGTTTTAACTGCTGTTCACCTAAGACTGTCCAGGTTTTATTGTAGAGGTTCTAAAGATGAATCTGTAATAAATGCTTGTTTACAACTTTCTGTTCATGCTCTTTCAGTTTTTAGCAGCTGTACAGGGGAAAGAAGCAATTGCTTGGGAACATGAGATTTTAACCTATCTTTCTGCTTCCTTTGATATCTGCATTGTTTAACAATTCTAGAAATGTGGGTTGTTGTTTTTTGTTTGTTTTGGGGTTTTTCAAAAATTTATTTATTCCTTATTCATACAGGGGGTATTACCTTCACCCTGTGTAAATTCTAAGTTTGTAATATTGCTAAGAATAACGTGCTTGTGAATTTTTCATATATGTGACTTCAGCCTTAAGTAAAAGAAACAGTGAATACAAAATTCCATAAAGGGCATCTCAAGAATCTTCAGCAAACTGATGTCTGAATTTCAGCACACTCTTCTGTTACCAGGAACAAGTTATTAATCAATGTTGTACCCCAATCATTTAAAAAAGAAGAAAAAACATACACTTTTCCCTCTACTTTTGACCTGTAGTTCTCTCTTTGTTCATGCTGCTTGTGCATCTCTCTTCTGAGGCTGGAATTTGCTGTCTTTGGTTCTGGTGACTTGCACTGCCACGGCCCTGGTTGGCTTGAAGGAACAAATACTGAAAGGACTTAGGCTTATTTGATGTGTGTTTTAACTATTGCAGATATTTAGGGCTTGGAAACACATAGTATTCTAACTATATATGAAGTATTTGGAGAACTGCAGCCTCTTTGAGTGTGAGAAGCAAGTGATTTTCTTTGTCCCTGAGACTTATCAAGTCACGAAACTTGAAAATATTTTTCACAGGGTGGCAAAACTTATATCCCTGCTGCGGTATGATCTCTTATAAAATTTCAAATGTTCACAATGAAATTTATATAGGTAATCAATAAATGGATGAAGAATATTGCTCTATAAATAGTCTTTTGTAGGGGTAAGGATGGAGTGATTTTTCAAGGAGATGTAAGTGGAATATCCATGTTTGATTAGATAAATTAATGGAGAACTAAGTGGAGAAATTAAAAATGTAGAGACATTCTAAGACACAACAATTTTAGCTTCGAATTCTAACCTGTTATCCAAATGAAACCTGCATAATATGTCAATTTATTCCTGTTGATGCCTGTTAAACCTGCAGAAATGATCTTGAATGCCGAATTTATTGTATCTCCCTTGAAGGTCTATATAGCTAGATTTATATCACTTTGACCAAGTCCAAGACCTAGTGGGTTTTCCCCATTTTTGCCAAATTTTGCAAGCATTCATGTAGTCACTTTAAATGAAATGAGCTTCTTGTTTCAGATAATCTTCTGTTATATTGTTTAAAAGCATTTTTCATATTTCTTGAAAAAAAATGATATTCCTGCTTAACTATATGTCTCATGTTTCTTTGTTTCATTAGTTTTGCCAGCCTGGAGGATGGCAGCTTTCAAAAGAGAGAAAACAGCCAACGTTCTTTGTGGTGGTTTTGACTGACATAGACTCAGAGAGGCACTACTGTTCCTGCTTAACTTTCTATGAAGCAGAGATTAACCTGCAGGTAAAAACTTTACAATAAGTAACAAAACCACAGAAAAAGGTGTCTAGAAACAATAGATTAATGTTATAGAGGACAACTTTAGAAAATATTTTGCTGTTCCTGGTAAGGATATATTTTTCTGTCATGCAGAAATGTATGTATTTTTGCACAAAGGTAAGCTCGGTATACTTGTTTGTGTTCTTTGGTTTTTTAATCTGTTTTGAAAAAACAAAAACAAAACCCCAAACCCCCTACCAAAAACGTTTCATAGAATTTCTTTTTCTGTATCACAAGGTTTGTTGGTTGGTTTTTTTTTTCAAGTGGGACAGCCAATATGGTGTTCCTTTCATTTACTTCCGTGTCTGATAGCATGAATGATTCGTATCTTCGTTCTAGGAAAAAGGTTTATTAACTTCTGCTCCCTCTGCTGGCCAACCCCGTCGGGCCAGCACAGGACAAATGAGTACAAGAATTCTGTAATGTGTATACATATTTCTGTAAGTGCGTTTATTGGCAAGATTTGTGTGGGTGTAAATGGCAAGATTTAAAAACTCATAGAATAATTCTTCCGTTTTTAGGTAGGTCAGATTTTGGGTGTCAGCTACTTGGCAGTGTTAGTTTTTAAACATGTATTTAATTATTTTTGGGCAATCTCAGTCTTTCAAAAATAGTTGTTTTGTTTCCCATTTGATGTAAAGTACTTCACAGAGTCTCTGTGATGACATACAACTTGGAACTTTTAGAAGCTAGAGCCTAGGGAAAACCTAATACAGTCTGTAGTTGTGGACTGTCATTGCTATGTTTTGAAATACTTTCTTTCCCACATGAAAATTAAAAATAAGTAAAACATTGACGTTAAGTATATTTAAGTTAGTTAAGGTTAAATAGATGGCTAAGTAATTTTTTTGCCTTTTAGTGAAGAACTGTATCATTATTGATTATTTTAAGAAAATGCTTTTAATAATCCAAGTGTACTCTGTTTATTTGGTACTGGAGTAGATAATTAAAAGATGTGGTATATTAATAATAATATTGTGCTTTTTCTAGGTGCAATTGGAATACAATAGTAGTTGCTTTTACTTTATTAACACTACAGTTTAGGTGGATGTTTTTGTAGATTATTCAAAGGAGTTGAAGAAATGTAACCAAAAATTAGATGTGTTTTGGTCTTAAATTTTAGTGTAGATCAATTGATATCTTGCTATTAAAAATTTTGTCATTTCTAAATGTTGTAATTTCTAAATGTCTACCATATTTCCTTTATTTTATAAGTAAGGAGTGAAATATTCTATAGTAATTCTTTCCCAGCTGATAAAAAATTACAATGGCTGACTCTTCCTCCACTCTGTTTTTCATAAGATATACTAAATTTAGCAAACTTGTTATTTATCTTGTGGTTTCTAGCAGCTGCTTTTGATTCACTATCCACGTCTTTCAAGTAATGCTCATCACAAAACATCCAGTATTAACTAAAAGGTTTTTTTCTTGTATTGCCTAAGTATTAATAAAAAAAAAAAAAATAAAAATTTAAACACTGAGTGCAGCAGGATGTTGGTTCTCATAATGCCATTCCTGGCTGTCTTGTGAAGAATGCATATTTTTCAGATGAACTTGCTGTGGTGAAATTTATTCTATGACTGCATTGTTTATAGCCAAACTTCCTGTTTCTTTCTAAAACCCAAAGAGAATAATTGAACGTGCCCTGTTACATGGTCATTAGACAAGAATTCAGCACATGTACAATCTGTAATGAAACATAAGCTTATGAAGCATTGGGCTATGAAAGTAATATTAACCGTTCAGATGCATGTCTCATTAAACAAACAGACCCTGAAATGTGTCCAGGATTTGAAATGAAAACTGGACAGTACTTTTCACAGTTAAATACAGTTCAATTTTTTTTTTTGTTTTAATGAATGATATAGCTCACTAAGATGAAAGTACGATTAAATTTCAAAAAAAAGAAGAGTTCTGTCTTTCCCAGCAGCCTTCACAAGGTAAGCCTTGCTAATACATGAGGTTGATCGGAGTTCAGCTAGAGCAGATTAGATGTTTGGCTTGGCAGAATAGTCTTCACAAAAGGACTCAAATCAACCACTTGGAAGTTTCTGTGGGGTAATTAAGCTGCAAAATGAAAACAAACTAATTTCTCAACTTCTGAATGCTAGAAGAGAACTATAGAACCTCTTTTTTGCGCCACCTGCAAAATAATACAAGAAGCTTTTTAACACAATTGATCAAGCTGGGTCTGAGAAGGCTGTTTCTGTTGTTCTGGTTTCCTTCATTCCTAAAAAGCTGTTTGTTACAGGATAATTTATAAATTAATGCAACCTCAAAAGTAAGGACGTTATACTCACATGGTATATCTAGGTGGTACCCATGATAACCTAGGGTACAAGATTAATATAGCAACTGTAAAAGCTCTATAGTCTGCAAGAAAAGAGTATTCTCCCTGGTGTCTCTGAAAGCTCTGGATTCAGTTTAATCTCTTGACAGTTGCATGTTATAATGAGTTTACCAGAGACAAGCACAGGCTCTAGTAATCAACTGATGGCCTATTTTCAACTTCCTACTCCTGGATAGAAAATAAAATACTGTTTTGTTTGTAGACAAGCAATCTATGAATTATACTTTGCATTGTTGTAGTACTGTCCTGAACTGACTCAGAATCTACTACCTGCACGGATGCTGGTCAGTCAGATTGGTGATCAGCTCTCATAATGTTATGATAATATATCAAAAAGATTGATGTTACATTTAGTCTGATTAATACTCCATATCTGTATTCATGAGGAGGGTGAACACATGGTATTCCATTAAATATGGGAATAGAACTCAATGCTATGAATGCAGGTGATACAGCTTTACCATGTAATCCTTCATGAATTCTTCTGTTTTAAGATGCTGGTCTCGGTAATTGTCCCAGTAACATTTGCTAAAGCTATATAAGGATATGTTCCACGTCTGAGATTAAAATGAAGCACTTGGAAGTTTGACCTTAACAGGATTCTAAAGTTTGGAATGTGACTGGACTACTAGAGGCAGTGTAATAATGAATTAACAGCAGTAAAGCTGGTGTCATTTAAGGATTTCCTTGGTATGTTTCGGAGCAGTTGTATGTGCAAGATTTCTCTCTCACTTCGAGTTCCTACCAATAGAAGGTGTAATACTGCACTGTTTCTCCTTCTAGTTTTTTGTCTCCAGAACATGCTTGGTTTGATCCATGTTTCTGTCTGGCTTAAGGTGCCATTTAGATGCTGTAGTGAATAGAGCCGGATGCCATACTGACATACATGTATTGACAGGGATTAGGAGGAGGAAAGTCAAAACATCCCTATTTCCTCTTACCTCACAGTGCCTCGAAGGCTTAGGGGTGGTTTTGCTTTTTCCCCATTACTATATTTCAGTAAGTTGCTGTGGACTTCAAACCTCATTGATTTGAAATCTGTTTGAAGTCTCATTGATTTGAAGAAAACCTTGTTCTATCAATCAAAAAAATAGTCTACTTAGCTTATTTTTGTGGCAACTGAAGCTGGAACCTGTTGAGCAGCCAAAGGGTATTCACAAGAATCATAACTTTCATCTACGGAATTCACCCAGAAAATTCTGTTACTCTGTATGTGTAATTTTATTAGCCTTAAAAAAAATGCACATATATATATATACACACACACACATATATATATGTATAGTTTGGTGTGGTGTATCTACTGTTTGCTAAAGTGAGGTTCTTATTTCTAACAGCAATTCCTGGATGTTACCACTTAGCACACAAAGACTTGATTTTATACTTTTGACTCAGCGGATACTTCCACTGACCTTGGCTGTGCTTCTTACCAATTATCAGTTAGAACTTGTACTAACAATGCTTGGAAGAGCACCATAGATGGACTCTTCTTTAAAAAAAAAAAAAAAAAAGTAGACTCAAAAAAGACTCACATGGTTTGGGAACTTAATGGTCAAATTGTATGTTGCTTTGCACTGTGAAAGAAATTTATCCTCTCTCCCCAGTCCTGCCATCAACAAAGTAAAGAATTATTTTTGCCAGTAACAGAGCCTGTGCAACTCCATTCTTGCATGACAGAAAATCCGCTCAATGAGATCAGCACAAAACCCCAAGTATTTGTTTATAGTAATCTTACTACAAGATTGTACCATTCTTGTGTGTTGTCTTAAGCATATGTACGTTAAAACATTGTGATCACAAAGTTGGTAAGATTAAGTATATCACTCTGGGAAATGCACATAAGTAATAACTCACAAGTCTCCTATATCATGCCATTCACATTCTCTTTCTTGTTCTGCCACCCTGCAAAAAAAGGAAAAGGAACTTGCAAAAATCCCAAACCATAAAATGGCAGATTCACAGCATTCACAAATATTTCCTCAGTCAAGGGAAAAACTGCCAGCAAAATGACTTTGTGCTTCATAAAGTTTTGATTTTTATGCTTGGACTGGAGAGTTGGTGGTCCTACTGTGTTAAGGCATATACTGCTTGATGAGTAACGTTTGGTTTTCAGCAGAGAATGAGAAGACTCAGTTCAGTTGTGCCCTTTTTGAAGTGTGAAATCTGATCCCCCTTTGGCTATTATATTAGCATGTTATTCTTAAGATGCATTTTAATAACTCTTTGTGAATATCAAAATATTAAATTTGTTCTGAAAGTGACCTTTTACAGTCAATACTCCAAAACATTTTGTGGAAAAACCTCCCAATTTTTAAAATAGTGTTTAGTATATTACATCATCATCTTTCTAAATCTGCTGAAAAATGGATGGTATGATATCATATAGATATTTAAGTAATGCCTTATTTCCTTTCAGTTCCTGTGTAAAGAGAAAGTTGCAGCTAGTGTTCTATATAAGAAAGACTTATATTTTTAATGCCCATTTATGCATTTAAGGTCCTCTCTAGACCAGAATTCAAAGTTAAGGTGAGAACAATTGTACAGAGGAAAGCATATTTCTATCTTTCTAAGAATGCTGACAGTAATTTCTCCTGTCCTTTTTGTCCCCTGGCTC